GGTTAATCTCATGTACAGTCTGTATATATAAGGGGATTTCAAAAACACCATGGATCATGAAATTAAAGTTCAAGTTTACTTTGGTTAAAAAAAAAAAATCTTAAAACCCATGCATCATGTTTTAATAATACATGTTTTCAACAAACTTGTTGAAGACCTTTCTATACTTTTGTCTTGAGCAGCAATTTCTAGTCTAAAAGAGTCTTGTCTAAGCAGTAGGACTAGTTTCACTCTACCAGGCTGTTCTAGGTCATAGATTCATACAGGAAAAATAAAATGCTCTGAGACATTTCCCTCAGGTCAGCATGGGGATAGGCAGTGCTGAAACTCAAGAGCTAGTAATGTCTCATGCATATAAGCTTGATCTACTCCTCTCCAAAACAGAGAACTTAAACAATGATCTGATTTCCAAAGAGTTCATTTCCCCCTCAGGAAGCTCCTAGCTAATGGGAGAAACAAACTTATTTCTCACATTCCTAGCTATGTTTTATCCTAAATACTTCTTACTTAATCTCCTTGATTTTTTTGCTTTAAGAAATTCACTAAAAATTTTAAAATATGGGCAATAGGAAAATGTTTCCCCCCCAAAAAAAAAACCACTAAACATTATATATTTAATGTTTCATCTCTCCTCCCTGTGTCTTCTCTGCTTCTTATTGCTTCTAGAACAGCAAGAAAGGGGATCTGTCAGAAAGGCAAGAGAATGTGATTGAAATTAGCAATATAACTGGACACCACAAAGGCTTGGCCTGCCTAACCCATAATGGGAATTACCTTGTGTTCTACCAACTCCCTGGAGCCCCAGAAAAGAGACATATGAAGGAAATTCAAAAAAGAGCAACAAGATTATAAAGGAGCTGTGAGGCTGATTTATGAGGCACATTGTGAGAGCTAAGTACATGTGGCTAAGCTAAACAATGACTGAAGACACACGATGAATGTCTGTCTACAAGTTTACAGGGAAAGTAATCACTGAGGAACTGAACAAGAAGGGGAAGTTGTCTTCAGAGTGATAACATTATAGTTATTGCTTTTATTTGTTTCTGTTTTTAATATGGCAGGTCTCATGTTTTATATTTCAATTGCCTACTCCAGGAGCAAGCACCAATTTTTTTAAGTGTCTTTCTTTTTTCAAAGGCAGAGTCAGAGAGAGAGGCGCCCCCAACAGGATTTTCACGCACTAGTCTACCCCCAGTCTCAGACAGCCTGGAAAATGACATGTAGGAACCTTTCTCATGTGGGTCCAATTGTACCATCACTACACCATTATCTGACTCCAGCACTGATATTCTTTTAAATATTTTATAATAATTTGAAATATAACACAACAATAGTGAAAATAACATTTGGCCTTATTTCAATTTATACTTTCTTACATTATTTAGTTGATAATTTATTTTCCTTCTTTTTTTTTTTTTTTGGAGAGGTGTTTTTAAGCCACCGGGTCCGGGACGCGAACCGCAGTGGGAGTCCAGTGACATAGCCATTACGCTAACTGCTGGTTCCCCTTCCTTCATTATTTTTCTGTTCTCTTTTATTTTTAGAAACTTTTGAAGCTAATTATGACTTTTATAAAATGTAGAAGGCTCTCTAAATATGAAGCAGTTAGGAGTACAGACTGAGAAGCAGTAAAAAAGTAAATAAATTAACATCATATTTAAGACAGAAAAGAGGAAATGAGTTTCAGCTGTCATATCTAGGATGAGGGGAAAAAGGAAAAGAAGAAACGGAGGGGGAAAAGTAAGTAGATCAAAGTTCTTGCAGCTCATAACCCTGTAGAGTTACCATCTTGGGTGACTGTCAAGCCCAGCATTTCACAGAGTCTCTAATGAGGTCTCTCCTGACTTTTCCAGAGACCTCACCTGTCATATGGTTTATTTCAAGCAGGAGAAGATCACCAGTCTATCCTTCATACCCTTAGGGCCAGGAAGGTCAGAGAAGAGTAGCATGTCAGAGGAAGATGCATGATGGCCCACCCAAGTAATTTAGCCTCTGCTACTGCTGAAGAGTGAACAACTTTCCCTTCTCTCTTACTTCATCTCACGCAGGGCAGTGACAAGTGGCAAAACTTAAAGTGAAGCCTGCTGTACCATGAAAACACTAAGGACAACTGACCACTTTCCTGTCCCTGAAGTAGGTACTGGGGATGTTAGAAAAATGGGACATGGTTCCTGTCCCCAAGAGCCTCATAGGCACCAGGCGAAGGAAGATCCAGAAATACACATGTAATTATTATTCAATGAGTTCAGAGATGTAAGAGATAAGCAAGACCTGCTCAGAGGACAGCTACCCCCTCAAGGGTAATTTTAGAGACCATGTCCCGGGCAGTGAAGTATGACATGACATGATCATCATTAGTTTACAATTGTTTTAAAAGGAGAGATCCTGGGAACCAGCAGTTAGCGTAATGGCTATGTCGCTGGACTCCCACGTAGTCGACCACGGTTTGCATCCCGGACCTGGTGGCTTAAAACTCACACCGGGCACATGTGCATGTGTGCCCAAGATCCCGAGAAGAGAATAGAGGAGAAGGGATTGCGGCATGACCATACCCCCTGGGGGGTTATTTCTAGTTTTCTGTCTGTCTGGCAAGCGCATGCACCTTATAGCGAAAAAAATCTCTCCAAAAAAAAAGGAGAGAGTCTCATCTGGAAACCTTTATAGCAGATAATAGAGTGGATATGTATTGTTCACTTGCCAGGCTTGCTTTCTTCTTAAAAATTAATTCTTTTTTTTCCTAGAAAACTGTTCTTCCACCTACCCCAAATACGAGGTGTAACTTAATATCTCACCACCCCATTCCTCACCTTCCTTGTCTCGGTAAATTAGCCTAGGATAAAGTCATCCAACTCCTTTGCTGGAACTTTGGAAGTTGAGTCTTCTGTGATGTTAAGTTTCTGTGATAGAGGTTTGAGAATATTATTCTCTTCTTCTATGGGAGAAGTGGTCCATATTGAGGTCTGACGAAGGTTGGCAATAGAGAGAAGCAGTAAGGATAAACAGAAAGAGTTCTATTGGCCCTGACCCAAGATGCCTCTGAGGCCTTGCTGCACCATTTTTGCCCTGTTACGGTGTGAAATACCATTGCATTCTTCTAGGAGAATTCTTCATTTTCCTGAAACAAGTTCAAGTTTGGGGTCTGTCATTAGCTATCAAGGGTCCTAAGTAGCAATTCATATCAGCAGGGGCTCTTGGACTTTTTCATCCTTGTTTCGAAGTTACATTTCTCCTCTCATCCTCTCTCCTAAGAAGAGTTAACCAACCTCAGTGAGCCAGTTTCTCCTCATTCTATCTTAGCCTACTCATATTCTGAAAACTCAGCCCATTTTCTTTGCATCTCCATTAGCTATGCTTCCAGTTACTCCACATTCATGTTTCCCAAAAGCCAACTATCATTTTGAAGTGCAATAAAATGCTGTCTACCAAGAGCCACCACCAGAGAATTCAACTGAGTGGGTTGAGAGTAGGGTTGGGAATCAATTTTTTTTTAATACACACTGGTTGGTTCTGATGTGCACCTAGGAGGCAGTATCACTACAGCCAATGACCTATGAAGCCCAATCTCCTAGCTAAACTTAGTTCTCTCATTGATCTAAGTACTGCTTCGTCTTGTTTACTGCAAAGGATGCGAAATTATTGAAAGCTTGGAAATGCAGCATAGCTGTTCTAAGGTGCCCAGAGACATATCCTGAAGGGGCTTGGGGTGACCTCATCGTCTGGATCCGTTGCAGGGGTGGACCTGGCACCTAACACAAGCCGCCTTTGATTTCACTCTGGCGATAGATGATGTCGAGGCAATTTGTTTCTTTTTGAAGTGAGGAGTTACATCACAGGCCTGTATAATTTTTCTTATGTGTTCTTCCAAAGCAGTTCTCCTCAAAGAAGTTGGGCATAGTTTTCCCAGAAGCAGCAGCAAAGTTGAATACAGGGGGGATATTGTTTTATTAATAAATCCTTCAGGCAATGTCACCTCTGAAACAGTCAAAGCACTCGCTCTTTCTCATGAGAGGTGACAACCATTCCACAGCAGCCATATTTTGGAAGGGGAGGCAGGTGGGAGAGGTATTTCATTTGCTGAAGGATCAGCCAAACCAAGCAGCACCTTCCTCCCTCCTTTCCTGAGTCGCTGGGATTTTGACAGTGGCTGAGCTACACCGATGTGATCAACTCTCAAAGTTTAGACGTGCTGTTTTACATTCACCATGATGCAGCAGGTGCTTCAGGACTTTCCCCTCCTAAGAAAAAAGGCTGTACTCACCTTAGGCTCTTTCATTTTTATTTCATTGTGTTTGCTTTTATTTCTACCAAACCTGTGGAACTTGGGGTTTAAGATTCAATAAAGCTTTGCAGTGAGTAGGACCCAAAGAACTTTGCATTTGTCCATAACATCCCCGATCCTGACAGTGTTCTTTTGTTCCTGTTTGTATGGGTTGGGGGCGTCTCCCCACGTTTTTTTCTTTCTTCTCTCTCTTTTGCTTCCTCCCCCCTCCCTCTCAACACATTCAATGAGTGCCCTAAACAGTGACAAACTCGCATGTGCTTCCCTTATGACTAAACCCCTGGGCCTCCTGCCAACCCCCTACAGATGGCCCCAAAGTTCAGGCCTCCCGTTAGGAGAGCCCCACAATGGTCAGGGCGGGGCGGTGGGGCGTGGTAGTGTCTTGGTCCTGGGGGAAGCCACAGCAACTTCCAGAAGGAAACAGGCGTTTCCTTCCCACGCGCTCCAGGGAACCCCAGGGCTCGGCCTCAGGACTCCACCCAGCCCCTCCCGCCGCTCTGGGAAAAGCCAGTCGCCACACACAGGCACACGCAGGCCCGGCGCCGCGCCCTAAGGAGAGCAGCACCCACAGCCAATTGCCATGACAACCCCGAGGCTCGTTCCACTTCCCCACCCAGCAGATCCCCCTCCTCCCTGCGCTGCAGCCAACCGGCTTGAGCGCGTCCCTGAAGCGCACTATAAAACCTGCGCCAGTAGCGCTGGGCGTGAGCACGAGCGCCGGACCTGGGGCGGGCGAACAGCGCCAACCTGCAGCCTAGAAAGTCTCGTTCAGTAAAAGCGAGGGGAGAAAGCCCGAGCATGCAGAGTGTGAGCCTCTGTCTGCGAAAGCAATGCCTTTGCCTGGCCTTCCTGCTCCTGCATCTCTTGGGACAGGTAAATGTTGCACCTTTAAGATGCCCCTGTTACTCTGCCCTCCTGCTCGCTCTCCGGACTCGCTCCGGCTACTGTTCCTGCT